ATAGCTCTGTGCGGTCGATACTGTCGTATGCCGCCTTAAAGTCGATGAACAAATGATGCGTTGGGACCTGGTATTCACGGCATTTCTGGAGGATTTGCCGTACGGTGAAGATCTGGTCCGTTGTCGATCGGCCGTCAATGAAGCTGGCTTGATAACTTCCCACGAACTCGGTCATTTTAGGTGATAGACGACGGAAGATGATCTGGGATAGCACTTTGTAGGCGGCATTCAAAATGGTGATCGCTCTGAAGTTCTCACATTCCAAATGGTCGCCTTTCTTGTGAATGGGGCAGATTACCCTCTCCTTCGACTCCTCCGGTAGCTGTTTTGTTTCTCAGATCCTGACTATCATCCGGTGCAGACAGGTGGCCAACTTTTCTGGGCCCATCTTGATGAGTTCGGCTGCGATACCATCCTTACCAGCTGCTTTGTTGTTTTTGAGCTGCTGAATGGAGTCCTTAACTTCCCTCAGCGTGGGAGTTGGGTCAGTTCTGTCCTCTGCTGCACTGACGTAGTCGTTTCCTCCATTGCGCTGGTCTCCCGTGCCTACGTTCTCCTCGCCATTCAGGTGCGCATCGAAGTGCTGCTTCCACCTTTCAATCACCTCACGTCCGTCCGTAAAGAGGCTCCCGTCTTTATCCTTGCACATTTCGGCTCGCGGCACGAAGCCTTTGCGGGATGCGTTGAGCTTCTGGTAGAACTTCCGTGTTTCTTGGGAACGGCACAGCAGTTCCATTTCTTCGCACTCCGCTTCTTCCAGGTGGCGTTTTTTCTCCCGAAAGATGCGGGTTTGCTGTTTCCGCTTCTGTTTATACCGTTCCACGTTCTGTCGGGTTCCATGCTGCAGCATTACCGCCCGCGCTGCGTTCTTCTCCTCCAAAATCGCTCTGCACTCCTCGTCGAACCATTCATTCCGTCGACTTCTTTCCACGTACCCGATGGTGCTCTCGGCTGCGTCGGTGATGACTGCTTTTACTGTACTTCAGCAGTCCTCTAGAGGGGGCACATCAAGCTCGCCCTCCTCTGGCAACGCTGCCTCAAGATTCTGCGCGTATGCTAAGGCGACATCCGGTTGCTTCAGTCACTCTAGGTTGTACCGCGGCGGGCGTCGGTACCGTACATTGTTGATGACGGAAATTTTTGGGCGCAGTTTGACCATCACCAGGTAGTGGTCAGAGTCGATGTTAGTGCCACGATAGGTCCTGACGTCGATAATGTCGGAGAAGTGCCGTCCATCAATCAGAACGTGGTCGATTTGCGATTCCGTCTGTTGTGGTGATCTCCAGGTGTAACGATAGGGGAGGTGGTGTTGGAAGAAGGTGCTACGTATGGCCATGTTCTTGGAGGCGGCGAAATCGATGAGTCGTAGGCCGTTCCCGTTCGTCAGCTGGTGGGCGCTGAACTTTCCAATCGTCGGTCTGAATTCCTCCTCCTGGCCTACCTGAGCGTTTAGGTCTCCCATGATGATCTTGACGTCGTGGCTTGGGCAGCGATCGTACTCGCGGTCGAGCTGCGCGTAAAATGCGTCCTTGTCATCATCAGTGCTTCCGAAGTGAGGGCTGTGCACGTTGATTATGCTAAAGTTGAAGAATCGGCCCTAGATCCTCAACCTTCACATTCTTTCGTCGATCGGCCACCAACCGATCACGCGCTTCTGCATTTCGCCCATCACGATGAAAGCTGTGCCCAGCTCGCGTGTGTTGCCGCAACTCTGGTAGATGGTATGATTACCTCTGAACGTTCGCACCATGGATCCTGTCCAACACACCTCCTGCAGCGCTACGATGCCGAATCCGCGGTCCTTCAGTAGATTGGCGAGTATTCGGGTGCTCCCGATGAAATTGAGAGATCGACAGTTCCACGTGCCGAGTTTCCAATCGCAAGTCCTATTTCGTCGCTGGGGTCGTTGCCGTTGGTCTCGGTTCGTATTCCTCTGTTGCTGATTTTCCGTTGCAATGCTTTTTTTTTTACTGCTCGCTCGCAGGGCCTGACACCAACCCCCTAACTTTCCGGAGGACCAGGGTGCACAGTTGTGCTTAGAGTCCTTCACTGGCACTCGGACGTAGATCAGCCGCCCCTAACATGGGAACAGACACTGCTGTGAGCTGCTCCTCCTGGAGAACAAACGCTCAGACCCTTCTGCTGGTACATGTCTATTTACTTTTGGTTGAAAAATCATAAATGTTGAGCCATCGGACGCTTCAAGTACATGAGGTTTTGGAAGTGTCCATTTTAGGGCCCTACAGGAACCGGTTTCAGGTATCAAGATATACATTTCGGTCCATGGCATGATGTCTATTTACTTCTGTATGAAAAATCATACATTTTGAACCCTCGGACGGTACCATAACATTTAGGATGTGTCCTATTTAAGGCCCTGCTGAAATCGGGTCTGGGTACTGGATGTGGCCAGACACACCTATTTGTTCGTGGGATGATCTCTATTTACTTTTGGTAAAAAAAAATCATAAATTTTGAGCCGTCGGACGGTACCAGTACATTAGGTTTAGGAAGTGTCCCTGCCAGAACTGGTTACGGGTATCGAAATATGGCTAGATTCTCCTTGCGGTACATGGCTTGATGTCTTTGTACTTCTGGATGAAAATTTTGTACCAGTGCATGAGGTTTTGGACCATTTGTACCCTATCATAACGGGTGCTAGGTTTCCTAAATGGCCAAGTTGAGAAAATCATGGACAGGGTGCCACTCTAAGAATCTTTATCTTTCTTTTGGGGCAATAGATCAAGCATCAGTTCAAAAATTGATTTTTGGGAACGAGTTACAGTTTGGGTAATTTTAGACCCTAATGCACAATGTGTCACGTTTTTTGTAGTGCCACTCTTAGATATCACTGAAAGCAAAATAATCGTTTTCGAAAGTTAGGAAAAGTGAGGAAATTTCAGGTCTCTATCATATTTCGTTACAACGTTACGTTACCGTATGAATAATTCATGTAAATTTCAGTGATATATTAACGATAGATTTGGCGTAATGTTACACGATATTTCATGTAAATTTAAGGGCAAATTCGCGTAAATCTGTAATATTGCATACAAGCTTATAAGCAATTTCGATTTTTATGCCAACTATAGCTCAAAATTTATCGAGAGGAGATTTTACGTGACAGTTAAAATTCAAATTTTTTTTCTGTGTAGGTCATCACATGGAAAAATCACCAAAACTATTGCAAACGTTAAGCAAACTGAAAATGTCTCCTGCTATCACTCGTTGTTATTTGCCTTTTTTTTCTTAGACAATTGTAGTCAATATCAGAAAAAAACATAAATATTTAGACTCGATAACAAAGACGCACAAAACCAACCCAACCTAGCAAGTGCTACCAAGAAACGAGATAACAAATCAAAATACACCATACAAACTATTTAACAAATGTTTTGTTTTCAGCTTCTGGCATCGAGGTCAATAATATTGTTACAAATCGCATCGTCACGGTGAATGAAACGGCTTCAATTTCTGCTAATCATCTTTCAGCTGTACTCTTATCGATCCATTGATGCGTGGTTGATAAACCAGTGCGGCTCTTATCGCTGAGCTACGTAAACGATACTTGCATCACTAGAAAGGAGGTATGATGACTGAGCAGTAGTCACAATGCAAGGATTAATGAATAATGCTTATTTAGCTTGATGTACTAAATAATGTATACAAATCCTTCGATATTCGCGAATTTCAACACGCCGAAGACGAAGTCTCCGGTAAAATGTGTAACGGAAAATTGGCAATGTTTGAAAAACCATTGCTCAGCAATTTAGCAATAAATTTTAAATCTATTGAAACCGAATAAATATTTAAAGTATGAAGTTGCAAATGGCTCCAATAGATTTGAAATTTGTCAATAGATGGCTGAGCTATGATTTTTCAAACGTTTCTCTTTGCCGTTACACGGTTTAACGGAAGCATCGTGTTTGGAGTGGTTATAAGTACTACCCAGTGCTATTATTCTAACCAGTTGATTGTATTGGTCAATTGCATTCTAGAGTTGTCATTAATCACATACCAAAAATCATATCGATTGGTTTTTGGTAAATTATTAGATGTTGTGTCCACAGTAGCTTCACACCATTCCCCATATTGCACTGATTAGCTGATACATGCATTTGAGGATTCAGATCAATGTTCAGATGTTGACTAGATGATTCAGAAAGTGTACAGCCTTTTAAAAGATGTCATAGAGCTTTTTGAGCACGCTAAAGTCAAATGAACTGATGCTGAGAATTTAACATACTTTATCATAAAATAAAATTAAGTGCCACCAAAAATTTTCAAAAATAAATTGCTTTGACATTAACGACTATTTTACATCGGTAAATACATCAATGAATAACAGATAGATCCAAACTGGCATACCATCGATATCATCTCTTGCATACGCTAAAAATCTTTTTCAACTAGTGGTAATTGATCTTTCACCTGGCAGCAATTCACATGTTTCGCTAAATAACGAACACTTCCATACGCGATATCTACGCGGTCGATAAACAAAATGAATCAATTCCCTACATCAACCGCTTTCATAGTGACTCACAAAACCTTTATACCAAATATGGATATCACCGCAAGCATTACCAGCACGCGATAAGGAAATTACAAATCCGAGAAATGAAGCCTCCGTGTACCTTTCGGGATGATGAATTATTAAAGGCCTACAAAATGTCAAACGATTCTCATAAACTTTCAAGGTACATACCGCCGCCTCCACCCGGCGTATCCACACCCAAATTATCATCGTTACCGATATCCTAGGAGGCCAACACTATCTTATCAAAGAAGCACGTAAGAAGTGAGACAGGAGCACGCGATACCATCTAAATGAGCGCTCATTGGATCGACACCTCTCGCTCGCTCAGCCTCGCACGCAGACTATAACCCATGGGTCAACCGCGGGAACGGCTCAGTCAATCGAAAACAACCGACCGAACCAAATCGTCCCAAAATTTCAAAGTAAGGGAACCTCAAACGTGCACTGGAAACAATCGAAATAGTCATAAATTTCCGCAAGATTTATCTGCTCCGATAACAGGGGTAAATTTGCGCTCGCGATCGTGACTCGGCGGTTTGATAACGTCGAACCTAATCGTGCATGTGATTGAAAGGGAATGCGTCAAGGTGAAATCGAAGCAACCCAACCATAAGTGAATGGGAAACCAAAGGAGGCGCATGCTTGCTTGATACGGGTAGTGCTGAAGTGACTGAGATAGAAGACGACTCCTGGTGGAGTTTGTGCGAAATTTATTTCGAGTGCAAAAATTAAGTGAAAAACGCCAATGACATTTGAAGAGTTTTGCGGTGGTCCCTTTTGGGTAAGTGGATAAATGTGAATGTGGAATATTTTATGAGCGTAGCGACAAGTTTCAAGAATAGACGTTATTCGTAAATGTGGGTCATGAAGTTGAGAATAATGGAAATATTAAATGTAATCATACTTTTGCGCTAGCGATTTTCAGTTATAAAAATTATAGTTTTTATTTGTTTTAAACCGCTTCATCTTCATCCCAGCTAAACTGACTACTTATATTCTCAGGTCAATCAAGTTGATCGAGTAATTGTAAATGCATACATAAAGGAATTTTACTCATAAGGTCCTTCAAGCACTCGTGGCGTACAGCAACAAGTAAATTAGACCCGTTTTGTTTAACAAAAATATTCGGGATCTACCTGGTCAACCAAGATTACTGTTTCCCATGTAAAGTTGAGCTGTTGTACTAATTTTCATCAGAACCGGTGTTTATTTAATAAAGTATATAATAAATCGCTTTTGCCATCACTGACAAATAACAGACTAGCCTCTAATCAAAATCTGACATTCGTAAATTTGGTGGAGAAACACCAAAAGTTGAAATTTTACGAACGATTGAAATTTATTAGATCCAGTAGAATATCAATAATTTGCTGTACATTTGCTTTTCAAAAATATGTCACAGGAAGATTTTGTTGTTCTATATTTTGATATTTTAACCGTTAAAACGGCCAAAACGACAGCAACCTGAATAATCATTATCAAGGACAGTACAACATCAAATTTAAGTTTTCAATTTAATTTCAGACTTTGCTTGGATTCTGTGCTTGAAAACGAAAACGAAACAAGATTTCAAAAACATAATTTGATATAATTTCTATAATTTTTTGATATCCGGGGCGCGCGGCCAGTTTCTTGAATCGAGGTATCCCAGAAAGTGAACAATTGTCAAGGGGTAAGTCACTCAGCACATTGTGCCGAAATTAGGCACAGCTTCGGCACAATTTCGTTGGTATTGGATTGTTGTAAATAAAATAGGAGCACTGTTGGACAACTGTCATTGAACTTGTTCACAACATTACGTGCTGTTTGACTGTATATTCAGATACATCCTCTAACAGAATATAACAGAGGAACTCAGAACAGCAGTTCACTTCTCGGTTCACTTATAAATCTAAATACAAAATGATGGTTCTAGGGTGGGTCAATAAAAAGAGGTAGTTAATCAGACGTAATTAGACCCCTTAATTCAAATAATGCTGCAACTCACACAAAACAAACTAAAGAAGTCATATTTATCATTATCTCTATAATCAGTCTCCAACAATGTTTTGCATCGGTTCCAACTATTTTCGGCCGCTCATAGACCGTTGCTTTTTGGGTCACGAAAGGCTAGGTTTCTGGTTTACCTTTGAGAGCATTATAAAACTCTAAAACACAGAATTTTATTTTATGAACACAAAACACCAACATTCCGCACACCCGCCACTTCCCGCGTCATTCTCAATCCGATTTATCCTTACGACTTCAAACCAAAACCGGGTTTCAGGGATGGATATTTTACAAACAATCACAGCTTGATATATGACCGGCACAATTGGTAAACCTGCGGCATACTGACAATAAAGATGACCCAAGATTGGGGTGCGGAGTGACCTACCCCTTGACAATTGTACTGTATTTGTTCTACGAACTTTTGCACAATAGGGTCAGCAAAAGTGACACTCAAACTAACAAATCAAAGTAGCATTGCTTTTCGAAGATGACCGAAGACTATTTAACTGATGAAGAAAAATAGCTCATTGCTTCTTTGACCAGAACCAAAAGATGTACCGCCAATTTTCTTTCGGAAGTGAACTACGGTAGGCCCTCAATTTATACGGTGGGTGGTACGATCGACCCACTGCTATTTTTTGGCTGTTCTTTGTAGATAGCTAGTTTATAGTTGACACTAATCAGATACAAAAAAAAAACTAAATTGGTTGACGAGCAGCCGAGAAACAGTGATGGGTGGACGGAACCACCCACCGCATAAATGGAGGGATTACTTACTTTCATCCATCAGTCCAATAGTCAACGGTCGTCATTGAAAAGGAATGCTACTTTGTTTTGCTAATTTGATTGTCACTTTTCCTGACTTAAAGGGTGATACGGTCAAAATTTGGTCAAGGGAAAACGCGTGTAAATCGGTGAAATCGTTTATTTAAAAAATCAAATTAAATTTCTTTTTCAAGTTCAATTAGTATAAAATTCAGGAAAAATATTCAGTTAGGCTTCCGCTTTTCCAAATCCGAATTGCCGGGCCTTACACTTGACCCCTGCCATCAGATTTTGTACAGCCACCTTGTCCACTTTCTTCGCCGCAGAAAACCAGTTTGCCTTGAACTGCTGCTCGCCCTTAGCAGTTTTTTTTGGTCTTCTTTAGGTTCCGCTTGACAATAGCCCAGTATTTCTCAATTGGGCGGAGCTCTGGCGTGTGGGAGGGTTCTTGTCCTTGGGAACCACCTGCACGTTGTTGGCGGCGTACCACTCCATGGCCTTTTTACCGTAATGGCAAGATGCCAAATCCGGCCAAAACAGTACGGAACAACCGTGTTTCTTCAGGAAAGGCAGCAGACGTTTATTCAAACACTCTTTCACGTAAATTTCTTGGTTGACAGTCCCGGAAGCTATGAAAATGCTGCTTTTCAAGCCACAGGTACAGATGGCTTGCCAAACCAGATATTTCTTTGCGAACTTTGACAGTTTCATGTGCTTGAAAACATCTGCTACCTTTCCCCTTCCTTTTGCCGTATAAAACTCCTGTCCCGGAAGCTGCTTGTAGTCGGCTTTGACGTAGGTTTCGTCGTCCATTACCACGCAGTCAAACTTCGTCAGCATCGTCGTGTACAGCCTCCGGGATCGCGCTTTGGCCGTCGTATTTTGTTTATCATCGCGATTTGGAGTCACTACCTTCTTGTAAGTCGATAGTCCGGCTCGTTTTTTGGCTCGATGCACGGTTGTAGACGATACACCCAGCTTATTTGCGGCATCTCGGAGAGAGAGGTTAGGGTTTCGCTTGAAACTACCGGCAACTCTCTTTGTCGTCTCAGCGGCTTCCGGTTTTCGATTTCCCCCCGATCCAGACTTCCTGGCTATCGACAAACGTTCCCCAAACACTTTAATTACATTTGTAACGGTTGATTTGGCAACTCTTAGCGATTTTGCCAACTTTGCGTGCGAGTAGCTCGGATTTTCGCGATGCGCGAGCAAAATTTTGATACGCTGCTCTTCTTGCTTGGACGGCATTTTGACAACTGAAGAGTGAATTCCAAAATCAAAATAGGAGCAACATTCTACACACACACACCTTCAAAATGAGGGGTGTTCAGGTTTTTTCAATGCAAAATTGAAAGAAATACGTCAAGTTGATATTGACCAAATTTTGACCGTATCACCCTTTAGTGGATTTTTGGCACTACGACCTCTTTCCAGATCTTTATCAATTTTTTCTACGAACTCAAAGCTAGAGTCACTTCTACTCAGAGGTATGAAGAAATTTCTAAAAACTGCAGGAACAATGAACTTAACTAATAACTCAGGGTTTTTCCGAATACTTCGGCAAAGTTCTGAGATCATCAGAAAAGTCCAGAGAATTTCAGAGAGGTTGCAGGATGTTAACTGAACTACAGAAAAGTTATATTAATTAATTACTGGTACTTTCAATAAGTTCCGAGAAATTCTTTGAAAATTTAAGGAACACCGCAAGGAGGAAAGAAAGTTCAGGGAACTCTCATGAAGGAACGAAATTTTCAGGCAAAGTTTAAGGAAGCTTAGAGCTGTCAAGGGATGTTCCATGATCTTCGAGTTTTGAAATATTCAGGAAAATTGCAAGAACTTGTGGATAGATCAAAGATTTTCAGGGCAGTTCCATGAATTTCAGGAAAATCACAGGAACTTGTCACAAGTTCTGAGAAATTCAGGGAATTATTGAAAACTTTATCAAACTGAGAAAAGCTTTAGAGCAGTACCAATAACTTCAGAGATGCACCGGAAAGTTTTTTAAAGTCTAGATTTTTGAATATTTTAACTTTAAAGTATCATGAACATTATTTTTAATATTGTTAAATGTTTCACAGCAAATGTTGTCAATTTTTATAAAAAATATGAACATTTTATTGTAAGATGGGCAAACTTTGATTAAACGTTTTACCATTTGATTGGAAAATTTGATTTGCCAGTTGTGATGAGTTGTGACAAATGCCAAAACAAATGTTCTCAAATTTGTATGAAATTTATCCTTTTTTAAAGCTATAGTATTTTACTCGAAACAACGACTAATTTCGAATTTGATCGTTTTCATTGCAAAGGTTTGAAACCGATTTTGTTAGAAGTGACGACGGATTTTGTAAAAGATTGGTTACAATTTTTATGGAATTTGTTCTGTTGTCCGGAATTTTTTGAAATTATTGTACTTTGGTGAATTCAAGTTAGACTTGAAGAGTCAAAGACGCAATCGGAGTCGATTAATTTCAGATCAGAGGAGTCAGATTTTTTCATCGATTTTCGTCGGACTCAATAGAACGGAAATAGGCGATTACAGTGAAGCAGTGCTCTACTCTATCACCTAAATAAGCAGTAAATATTTTTTGCCAGGCTTTTGTCCTAGTTACTTATCTGTGAAGGGTCTTGAATAAGCTTCTAAAGTGATATTCTTAATATACAATTTAAAATATATAGAATATCTAGAAGGTTCTTAAAAAAGCTTCAAATGTAGATTCTAGAAGAAGCCTCCTTTGGACGCTCATTGAGCGTCGCTCCACTCCTCTGACCAAAATTTACATAGCTGCCATTCTCAAACGAATAGCAAATGACACCAAAACCCTTAGCACGGTGTGCTCTGTGACCAGTTCTGTACAATATCTCATGGTTCCAAATAGGTGGAGGGTTGTAGTATTCGAGAACTTGGTAAATATTTATAATTTTATCAGCAACTTCATCACAAACCATCGTAAAAGTATACAAAATCCCAAGGATTCATGCCATTATCGGACGTCGCATTCTTAACCTCTGATATATAATCGAAATGTAGTTGATAACGCTCTCGAAAATTATTGAAATTTGTCAGATAAAAAACCGCTCAACCATACCTAATAATGCCATATCGCTTCTTATCAGTTCACCCGTCTCACGCGTAAAATAAACAAGTCATCGTTTTTCTCCAACAGGACGAAACTCTCACATGGCGAGCGGAAGATCCGGATTTGACCTTCTGCTTCCAACGAGTCATCCTACAATGGGTTCCCTGCTTCTTCCTGTTCGTTTTCACTATCTACGAAGTATACCGAATTGCAACCAGCCGGTACCGGGACATTCCCTGGAATTGGTACAACATCTCCAAAATCGTCATCTGCTTCATGCTGATGATCATGTCCTGGATAGACCTGGGCATGGTGGTCAACTATCACAACCAGGAAAATGTATTTGACGTTCAGATCTTGGTGGCGATTTTCAATGCTGTGGCCTTTGTGAGTATTCTATGTTTAATTATTTAATGCTACACGCTATCTAACACTAATTGCTTGCCATCAGATAACAGTCATCACACTGTACTACTTCTTCCGGAAGTACGGAATTCACAGCTCCGGAACGATTTTCATTTTCTGGTTCCTGAAAGCCTTCTTCGGGATCATCCAGATGCGTACGGAAGCCATGAAGCACGCAAATCGGGATAATCCCATAGGATCCGGCGAAACGGTCATCTTCGCCGAGTACCAATTCGTCAGCTTTACCCTACAGTACTCACTGACGTGCTTAATACTGCTGATGGAGATCATCCCGGATAAAGCACCCCGTTACAGTGACTACCCTGAGATGAAAAACCCTAGTCCCGAATTAAAGTCAAGTTTCTTCATAAAGCTTCTGTACCTGTATTTTGATCAGTTTACATGGACGGGTTTCCGAAAGCCACTAACCGACAGTGACATGCACGATCTCAATCCGGAAGACACGTCACGTGAGCTGGTGCCACCTTTTGACAAGTACTGGTACCAGAGTGTCGAGAGCCGTCGCCAGAAACAGATGGCTGCCGACAAAAAGGCCGGAAAGGTGAACCCTATCAACAAACCCCATGCAGCTACTAATGGATCGATCCTTCCAGCCATGGTCAAGGCGTACGGTGGACCATTCTGGTTTGCTGGCCTGCTGCAGATCGGTATCTCGGGACTTCAGTTTGCGTCACCTTATCTTATGCAGTAAGTAATTACATTTGCACAATGCATGGGGGAAATCGGATAATCAATATGCTATTTATCTCTTACTTCTTCATAGGGAACTGATGGGAAACATTGCGATGAGTGGACCGTTCTGGATCGGAATGCTTATCACGTTCGCTCTATTCTTCAACTCGCTTCTGATCGCACTGTTCAACGGCCAGTACTTCCGAAAGACATTCCTGGTAGGCTTCCGCATTCGAACTGGCTTGATTAGTGCCATCTACCGGAAAGCTCTCCGCATATCGAGCTTCGCTAAGAAAGATACCACAGTTGGCGAGATTGTCAACCTGATGGCAGTCGATGCGCAGAGATTCTTTGAATTGACCTCCTACCTACACGTTCTGTGGTCAGCTCCGATCATCATCGCCGTATGCATCTTTCTGCTGTACGAAATCCTCGGTCCGGCAGTGTTTGCCGGGCTTGGAGTGATGGTTATCATGATTCCTATCACTGGCGTCATCGCTACCCGACTGAGAGATTATCAGGTGAAACAGATGAACATCAAGGACGATCGTGTGAAGAAGATGAATGAAATTTTAAGCGGCATGAAGGTGCTAAAACTGTATGCATGGGAACCTAGCTTCCAGGCGGAAATAGTAAACGTTCGAGCCGGCGAAATTGCCATTCTGCGAACAATGGCCTACTATGGTGCAGCAACGTTTTTCGTATGGAGCATGGCTCCCTTCCTAGTGACCCTTGCATCGTTTGCTGTATTTGTAATGATCGATGAAAACAACGTTCTTGATCCCCAAACCGCGTTTGTCTCATTGGCTTTATTCAACATCCTGCGCTTTCCGTTGGCTATGTTCCCCATGATGATAACGTTCGCCATGCAAGCGTGGGTATCGGTGCAGCGAATCAACAAGTTCATGAACAGCGAAGAGTTGGATCCGAATAATGTAACGCACAACAGAAGCGAAGATGCTTTGTCGATCAAGGACGGAACGTTCTCTTGGGGTGATGAGACTCCCAATTTGAAAAACATCAATCTGGCACTGAAGAAGGGCAAGCTTTCCGCAGTTGTGGGAAGCGTTGGCACGGGCAAAAGCTCTCTCATCTCCGCGCTGCTTGGAGAAATGGAGAAGGTCAAAGGATCGGTTAACACGGATGGAACGATTGCATTTGTTCCTCAACAGGCATGGATTCAGAATGCTACACTTCGGGAGAATATTCTGTTTGGAAAGTCCTACGATGCACAAAAATATGATCGCGTACTGGAATGCTGTGCTCTGAAACCGGATCTGGAAATGCTTCCGGGAGGAGATACAACGGAAATTGGTGAAAAGGGTATCAATCTGTCTGGTGGACAGAAACAGCGAGTTGCACTTGCACGGGCAGTCTACGCGGATGCGGAAATCTACTTGTTTGATGATCCACTGAGTGCGGTCGATGCACACGTTGGCAAACATATCTTCGAGAAAGTTATCGGCCCGGAAGGGATGCTTGTGGGTCGATCGCGGCTACTGGTGACTCACGGTATCTCATTCCTGCCCTATGTGGAAGAGATATTCGTCGTGAAAGATGGCGAAATCTCGGAAAGTGGATCCTACCAGCAACTGTTGGATCAGAAGGGAGCCTTTGCCGATTTCCTGACACAGCACATTCAAGATCTAGATGAAGAAGACGAAGAAATACAAATAATTCAGGAAGTCCTCAAGGACGAAGTCTCCAGAAACATTCTAAAACGTGCCATGTCCACCCGCTCTGAGCGGTCCGCTGGAAGTGGTGGTAGTATTCGCAAAAAGAAAGTAAGCCGACAAGAGTCTCGAAACAGTAACAAAAAACCAGAAATCCTAGATACTCCTGCAAAGGGTACAACTTTAATCGAGAAGGAAGAATCCGCTACGGGGGCGGTAAGTTATGCAGTGTACATCAAATACTTCAAAGCAATCGGTTGGAATATGGCATTCTGGGCCGTTTTCTTCAGCGTTATCAATCAAGTATCTGCCATCTACGGAAACATTTGGCTCACGGATTGGTCGGAAGATCCTGAAGCAGCAACTGATCCTGCCGTTAGAGATATGTACCTCGGAGTATACGGTGGCCTGGGAGGACTTCAGTCCTTGGCACTTCTCATCGCATCCATCGTCTTAGCCCTAGGTTGCTTGAAAGCAGCAAACACCATGCACAATAATCTGCTGGAAAGCACCATGCGCATGCCGATGTTCTTCTTCGACACGACCCCCCAGGGACGAATTATGAACCGATTCTCCAAGGACGTAGACGTAGCCGACAACACACTTCCGCAATCGATCCGCATGTGGTTGTTGATGTTCTTCAATGTCATCGGAGTGTTTGTAGTGATTGGCATCTCTACCCCGATATTTTTGGCAGTCGTTCCCGTATTCCTCGTTATCTACTATGCCATCCAGAAGTTCTACATTGCCACTTCGCGACAACTGAAGCGATTGGAGTCCGTCACCAGAAGTCCAATCTACTCCCACTTTGGGGAAAGTATCACGGGACAGTCAACCATCCGAGCGTACGGTGAGCAGAATCGCTTCCAGCAGGAATCGGAGAAACGCGTAGACTACAACCAATTGATGTCCTACCCGAGTATTATAGCAAACCGGTGGTTGGCAATTCGTCTGGAGATTGTCGGAGCGCTGGTGGTCTTCTTTGCAGCTCTGTTTGCCATGCTATCTCGTGACACCATCGGTGCAGCTATGGTAGGACTTTCGATTACCTATGCCCTGCAAATTTCAGCCGTATTAAGTTTCCTGGTAAGAATGACAGCTGAAGTGGAGACGAACATTGTGGCAGTGGAACGCTTGGAAGAGTACACTGTGCTGCCAAGGGAAGCCGAGTGGCATAAGGGAACGGTTGATAAGACCTGGCCGCAGGAAGGAAAAGTGCAGTTCAACAATTATAAAATTCGCTATCGAGAGGGGTTGGATTTGGTGATCAAGGGCATTTCGCTGAATGTGAAAGGAGGGGAGAAGATTGGAATCGTTGGTCGGACGGGAGCTGGAAAGTCTAGTTTGACGATTGGATTGTTCCGTATTGTGGAAGCATCTGGAGGAGCAATCGTCATCGATGGACAGGATATTTCCAAGATGGGATTACATCAGCTGAGAAGCCAGTTGACGATCATCCCACAAGATCCGGTGCTTTTTTCAGGCACGCTGAGGATGAATGTTGACCCGTTCAGGAGTTACTCAGACGATCAAGTGTGGAATGCCTTAGAGCTGTCACATCTGAAGGCTTTCGTTAAGGGACTTTCGGCTGGATTGGAGCATGAGATAGCGGAAAATGGTGAAAATTTATCCGTCGGTCAGCGACAGTTGATCTGTTTGGCAAGAGCAATTCTAAGGAAAACTAAGGTGTTGGTGCTGGACGAAGCTACGGCAGCAGTCGATCTAGAGACGGACGATCTAATTCAGGTTAGTTGACTATGCGCTTAAGATTCAAATATCGAATAAATCAAATCAATATTCTATTTCAACAGAAAACCATCCGTACGGAGTTTGCTGACTGCACAATTCTGACGATTGCTCACCGTCTCAACACTATCCTGGACTCGGATCGCGTACTAGTATTGGACAAAGGACTGGTAGCAGAATGTGACACACCGCAAAATCTACTCGCCGATAAGACGACCATATTCTACGGAATGGCGAAGAATGCTGGAATTATCAACTAACGCAGACAGCGAGCACATACGAGGAATCTCAGCCGCTACGTATTTCTTGATGGTATGTTTCATCTAGACTTCGATCACTTCGTATGCAGTAATTAACGGATTCACTGTTTCAAGGGCCACACTCACCTCTTGATAGCAATACTCTTCGTTTCGGGTAGTTCAATATGCTTTATGTATAAGAAATTATTTGCCTTATTTAAATAACAATAAACTATAAATAAACACTTTTTTTATTCAATCAACCCTGCCTTTCGCACCATACTGTAGAACATTGATTCTTTGTTGGCCAATAGCTCTTGAGGTCTGTCATATTCGGCAATCATTCCATTTTCGAGAACTACAATTTTATCGTAGTCAATTATTGTATTCAATCGATGAGCCACTGTCAATACGGTGCTGTCCGAAAATTCCATGCGTATTGTTTTCTGTGAAATTTAAACTCTGTCAGTTGCAATCTATGAACAAGTAAACTATTAAAAATCACCTGAATTGCTTCATCCGTCTCTATGTCCACGGCAGCCGTTGCTTCGTCTAAAATTAAAAGTTTTGTTTTCCGCAGCACGGCTCGGGCTAAACAGATCAGTTGGCGTTGACCCAGGGATAGATTTTCTCCATTTTCGGTAACCTTATGATGCAATCCATCAGGAAGGCTCTTAACAAAGTTTGCCAAATGTGACAGATCCAGAGCCTTCCATATTTGATCATCCGAGTAGGCCTCAAATGGATCCAAATTTCTTCGAATACTTTCCGCAAACAATACGGGATCCTGGGGAATGATGGTCAAACGGCTTCGAAGCTGGTGTAATCCGATTTTCGAGATGTCAACTCCATCAATAATGATTCGGCCACCACTGGCTTCCACAATTCTAAATAGACCTATCGATAAACTCGATTTTCCTGCACCCGTCCTTCCGACGATTCCAACTTTTTCTCCACTTTTCACGTTTAATGAAATTCCTTTGATGACCAGATCCAATCCCGCCCTATATCGTAGTTTGTAGTCTTGGATCTCGATTCCGCCATCGGTCGGCCACCCGTTTTCAACTGTCCCTTTAACCCGTTCGGCTTCTGTCGGTAGCTCGGCATACTCCTCCAATCGTTCAATTGCAACCACATTCGTCTCCACAATAGCTGTCATCCTCACCATAAAACTCATAGCCGTCGATATCTGCAGTGCATAGCTAATCGACAACCCCACCAAGCCTGGTCCTATTGAATTTCTAGCCAAAACGGCGAACACTGCAGCAAACAGCACTACAAATGATCCAACAATTTCCAACCTCAGTGCCATCCACCGATTGGTTATCAATCCAGGGTAGGCTACTTTCTGATTGTAATCTATCTTCTCCTCCGATTCCCGAATGAAACGTTCCTGCTCTCCAAAAGCCCGTATCGTTGACTGCCCCGCGAATGTCTCTTCAAAATGTGACAGTACGGGACTTTTAGTGATCGATTCCAGCCGCCTCAGCTGCCGTGAACTTGATATGTAGATTTTCTGAATCATATAATATACTACGACGAGAACGGGAGCGATCACCATAAACATAGGGGTCGAGAAACTGATAACTATAAAGACTCCCACTGCATTGGCAAACGAGTATATCCATCCCCGTAGCGTACCGGGTATGATGCTATCCATAACGTCTACATCCTTGGAGAAACGATTCAGGATTCTTCCGATCGGCGTTGAATCGTAGAAAGACATCGGTAACCTAAGAATAGTGTCAAGAAGACTGCTGTGTAAATTTTTGGATGCCCGGATGCAACCTAACGCTAACGCTAAGGCACTGATGAATAGCGATAAGGATTGTATGATTCCAAAGGAACCATAGAGGGCTAGGTAAGTATCGCGAGTGGAGGTGTCGATTGCTGCGATCGGATCTTCGGTCCACCTTGATAGCCAGAAACTGGATGAAATGCCACTGATTTGAGTGAGAATAGTAAAGGAAAAAGTCCAAATCACGATTGATACTCCAAATGCTTTCATAAATTTCCAATATACAGCCCACGCAACGGCACCCGTACTGGACTCTTCCCTAGACGTCAGTGCTGATTTTGAAGTACTGGACCGCTTTACAGTTACATTCTGAGAAACTTCATCACCACTGGCTGCAGGATGCCGTAATTCTACGGACGAGTTTTCATTCCGTCCCTGTATGGTTACACGCTCCGAAAAGAATTTTGCAAATTCTCCCTTTTTATCGAGCAATTCCGCATAGGAACCATTCTCGGAAATTTCTCCATTTTTGATAACAAAAATTTCATCCACATGTGGCAGAAAGGATTCACCATGCGTCACTAATAGCTTGGTCTTACCACCCAGAATCCCGCGATGTCCCAAAACCTTCTCGAAAATATGTTCTGCAACGTGAACATCGACCGCACTTAGCGGATCGTCTAGCAAGTAGATATCGGCATTTGCGTAGACGGCCCTAGCTAAGGCAACTCGCTGTTTCTGGCCTCCAGAAAGGTTTATACCTTTCGCGCCGATTTCCGTTCGGTCACCAGCCGGAAGCAAATTCAGGTCCGATTTCAGCGCACAACTCTCCATTACCGTGTCGTACTTCTGCTGATCGAACGGCTTTCCAAACAAAACATTATCCCGCAGCGAAGCATTTTGAATCCACGCCTGCTGCGACACGTACACCAGCGTTCCATCTACGTTGACAGATCCGCTTGCTTTGTGCATCTCCCCTAGCAACGCCGAGAGCAGTGAACTCTTTCCGCTTCCAACAGCTCCCACAATGGCACACAGCTGACCTTTCCGGAGTGACATGTTGATTCCTTTTAGCGTTGAGGACCCGGTAGTCCATGAAAAGTTTCCATCCTTGATCGACACCGCATATTCACTTTTATGTTGCGTCACGGCTGTCAAATCAAGTTCCTCGTTGTTCATAAATGTGTTGATTCTTTTGATCGATACCCACGTTTGCATCAATATGGTAATCACCATCGGTAGCCAACTTAGCGGTACCTTCATTATGTTGAACAGAACTAGGGAAACGAATGCTTTCTTTGGGGTAAGCACATTCTTCTCATCGATTAGCACGAACACGGTAAATGTCATGAAAGCCACTAAAAAGGGAGCAATCGTAAACGCAAAGTATATTCCTGCTCCGTAGTAGGCGGTCTTCCGCATGATCTTAAGCTCTTTCTCACGAGTTTCCACAACTGACCGTTGGAAACTCGGCTCCCAAGCATACAGCTTCAACACCTTAATGTTGGAAAGAATTTCATGAATCTTCTTCACTCGGCTGTCCTTAATCTTCATCTGATGTACTTGTAGACCCTTGAGTTGTGATGCAATCACCTTCGTAATAGGTGTCATCAAAACCATGACTGCCAAGCCGGCGAAAATGGCAACCCCTAGAATGTCGTACAGTAACCATAAACAAACGACAAGCACTATCGGACCATTCCATAGCAGGTGCAAGAACGGTATTAGCTCTACGAAGCGGTGAGCATCGACTGCCATCAAATTGACGATGTTTCCAACGGCTGCACCCCGTTTAGCTGCATTGGAAATGCGCAGTGCCTTCCGATAAATGGCGCTTATCAGTGCTGCTCGAATGCGGAACCCGGTCAGTAGATTGTTGTAGTAATACTGCCCATTGAGCAATGCATACAATAACGTAGTGAGAAACAAGCCGAACGATAGCACCAGACCTTGCCAAAGTGGTCCTCCGGAGGATACCCACGAGAGGAGAGACCTGCAAAATTACAATGGATCTGTAGTGTTGAATTCCTGAATAGGGTAACCAGTTTTGGACTAATAAAGAATTTGTAGGCAGTGCTATGCAGACCCAAAAAAAAAGGTTAGTCCAAATCTGTTTAACCCAGCCTACTATGATTACAACTCACATGAGAAAATATGGCGAAGCAAGCTGTAGCGTCGTCATAGCCACCTGAAGTATTCCAGCAAAGACAAATGGTCCACCGAACGCCTTAACAATAACGGGTAAGATTGAACCATTTGTACACTTTGCGTCCATCGCCTGACCTCTGCGACCTTTTTCTAAGCTTTTGTTCCAATATCTATCGAAAACCGGACTCGTTTCCCTGGTCATATCCTGCGGATTGACGTCATACATATCGTCCATGGTTAGTTGCTTTCGCAAACCCTTCCACAGCAGCCGGTCATATGTTAGAAAAAGTAAACGTGACAAAAAGCTAGCCCTCAACTCCGGGTTTGGTTTCTTCGATTGTGGATAACTGCTGGAGGTTGGCTGCTCATCTGGAACGATTTCCAGCACCATAGCAATGCATATCACCGCATACTGCATGAGATAACTGTAGACGTGATAGGTCCTGTATTCAAAGGTATGATTCAATCCCTGCCCTTCAGTGCACGCCTGTGGTACTCCGAAAAGCATCCGCATGAACCAAAAGACAAACAACGTCCCCGTACTCTGGATGCCATGCTTTCTGTGAAAGAACATCAAAGTCAACACTATTGCCTGAAAGAGTAAGAGAAATTCAGTATCGATCGATCAGAGTAGATCAGCTCAATGACTCACGTAAGCTACCGCATTCATCGTTTTAGTTACTGCTTCAACTGATGGTAGATTTTCACGTCCCATGTTCCTGATGGCCATACCAAGATCCATACAGTTAGCACATACTAACAAGAAAGCAACACACATTTTCGACACATTCAGCAAACTCCACGGAATATCCCGGTACCGACTATGCCTGATTCTATACACTTCGTAAGCGGAGAATAGCAAAATAAAACAGCATGGAATCCATTGCAGAATCACACGCTGGAAGCAGCTCGTCAAACCTGGATTGTCCGGATGCCGTGCCAGCTCACTGTCCTTAATAGATCAAACGAAAAAATGTCATCAAAATAATCCGCGAAGAGTGACGAAATATTCACCCATAATGGACCTCCACAAAACTCCTCAAAGTTCATGTCATCTGACAATGTAACTGCGTGTTTTTCACTTCGATTCTCACAGTAAACTGACCATCGCAATGCCACTTTTCCTCGCGATGCCGTTTAAGCCATACTACGCACGTTATCGTCGCCGATAGAATGCTACTCCTGATTAGATCAATTACCGAACGCATTGTGTAGTAAAAGTTCAAGTTTAAAATTAAGGTAGATGGGGTCAAGATGGGCCATCGTTCGTTTGGGCATATTTCCTATTAATTTATGCACTGCCTAATATGCATCAAATTTTTTTTTCCATGGTTTTTTTTCCGTCGATCTTGTTTGAAAACCAATGCTACCGACACCAGGGAGATAGCTCCCACACCTGGACCCTACATATCGACCCATCAACTCATAGACCGGGGACCAACGGCTTTACTTCCCGTAGACGAGCGTGATCAGATAATTATGCCTAAAAAAAACTGACGGTGCCGACTGGGAATGAAGCCAGGCCCTTTGGAGTGAGAGGCAATCACGTTTACCACTACACCACCGGCACTGCTAAATATATCCATGCACCTCCATGAAAACCGTATAAAAGTTCATTTATATGCCAAATGGTAATGATAATGATGAATCTGCAAAATATTATAAGATTTCCAGACAACAAAATAAGCTTTGTATTCACTATACAGCATTTTATCGATCCGCTGGTTCTATCATTGGTCACTATTACTACAATAATGAAACAATTTGGTCAGCAACTCCACGCATTAGACTTTTATCTTTCCATAATTTCACATATTCGTATTTCCGAATTTTTCTCATCTTCAAGATGGTTGTTTAAGATATACTTTGGTGAAATAAGACCACTAAAAAAACACAAAGATTTCGTAGAACATTCGAAAATATTTTCAAGAAGGGGGCAGACAAAATCGACAACATTAAATACAAGTAACAGTTGCTGACATACATTATTTTCATATATCATATGATTTCTAATGTTATTTTCTAGCGAAAGACTGCCATTTTTTCAAACATATATGAATTCAATGAGTATATCAGGATCGTAGTGTGCCCTGCTCTAAACGGACGCGAAAAATATCCGGTTGTCAAATTGTTCGTCTATGTTTTCCGAGTTTTGGCGAGAGAAGATCGCGAGTGCAGGATTTTCTGGACGAATTAAGGCTGTGAACCATTTGCTGAGTTAAATTTAACTCGTGGTTAAAAGTGACATTTCGAAAGTCATTTCCTATGTTCGAAAATCCCCGTGCTATCGATCGACCGGTTTTCGACCCACGGTTGTCAAAATTTAACGTCTTGTCTGTCAGAAATAACCATGCTTTCCATCTGTCAAATTTTAACCTAAAGTTAAAAAAATTCGACAAATAGTTCAGAGCCTAAGAATATTTCCAGGTGCATTTTCAACGGCATTCGGGTCGTTGAAACTGTGATTCTGAATATTTTTATTTGAACTCGAATCATTTCGGGAGTAGACCTGACCGTTTTGATGTTTGTGTTATGTCTCAGATATTCTGCAAAAATCAATATTGACAAGAAACTTATAAGGCATCATCTAACCTAATCATTTTCCAGGATGCTTTCTCGTGCTGACTGCGTTTGTATGTCATACTTTTACCATATCTTATACACAAACATATGCTAATGCATGAATTGATCACAGCTATCATACATTTTGGAATGTTTTTCATGTTTTATGATTCCAAGAGGGACCATATTGCTCCCCTCTACCCTACTCAATTCAATGAACATTGTTTCGCATTGCATTCGAGAAAGGGCTAATTTAACCACAAAAATGGACATCATTCAGAAAATAAGCTATATGTGTAGTTTCTCTCTTCTGAACTCTTGGAAAACGGTAAATCAAAATACACATTATTCATTCGACATTATCAGTTGTTACTCTTTTAAAATTGATAACCGATGTTTGTGAGCCTTGAGAGGGCTGATAGTTAGTGTGTTCAATGTGAGTAAAATTATTGCCACTAAATTGTATGCGTACACATATCATTGCAAGAAACGCCTGTTTTTTCAATCATTACTGATAACGGCATGCTGCAACTGCTAAAGAGAACTATGACTAACCCATCTGCAGAGAGATTCAACTTGTCTGTCAGGGCTCTGTGGTGCTATTAGCATAAGCATTTGCGTTACTTACCATACGAGTCAGACTAAGGCCTGGGTGTCCTTTGCTATACTTACACCGAAGTTTTCGAGAGGCCCATTGACGAGTGCACGGATGGATTTGAGTTCACTCACTCGACAAAAAGTGACACAACAGCGGGGCCCTGTTTACTAAAAATGAACACATGAATAATACTCGCGTAACATTTGAAAAGGGCCTTTGAGTTCCTTACACTTAAGGGCCACCCACAATAGTCCGTCACCGTCACCGTCACCGTCACCGTCAGCGTCAATTGACAGCTTGGTTTGAGCCAACGCTATTCAGTTTAGCAACCCACAAAGATGCGTTGCGCTCACTGCGCGCCAGTACTAAAACGCTGACGCTGTGCTAAATTTTGAACATTTTCAAAATTGACGCAGCTGTTTTGTCACATCAGCGTTATCAGAAGCGTATGTTGTGCCGTGTTGCTTTGAATTGCGATTGCATTGTTAGTAGAAATTTGCATTTGTAAGAAGGGCCAACCCCAATTCCCAAACAAATTTCAGTGGTTTTTTTTCAATAAAATACAACTAGTCAAATGGCTTTGTATACAATTAAAACTATTGCAATGTTTTATATATCCTTTAACAATATTGGCCAACACATTTCGGTTAACGTATGCAGATCGTGTCGCATTGTTGTCTGTCTGAAAAACCGCAGAGTTTATACATCTCAGAGGATCAACTAATGTACGCCATTCACCAGGTTCACTAACGTTCCCATCACCATCCCTCCTGGCTCCGGACAGCCATTGATTGAAGTTGTCTTGAATTGGACGTAGGCCAACACCTGGATATGGCCGGAACAAGTTATTCTTAAGAGGAAATGCAGCACTCCCAACAATGAAATACGGCATCACTTCATTTGAGTGCTGGCAAATCCTACTCGCCATTCACCAATCGCCTCCCAAATTCAGAATGGTCGGACTTTTTTTTTAATATTAAATCTTCTACCAAAACAAATGATTAAATCGTTATTATGCTCCTGTCAAAACGCAACGCGTGACGCATGATTGTGCGCAAGCGCTGCGTCAATGCGTCCGTCAGCATTTTTAGCACATGACGGATGCGTTGACGCTGACGGTGACGGTGACGGTGACGGACTATTGTGGGTGGTCCTTTACCGTCACCGTCACCATCAGCGTCAACTGACAGCTTGGTTTGAGCCAACGCTATTCAGTTTAACAACCCACAAAGATGCGTTGCGCTCACTGCGCGCCAGTACTAAAACGCTGACGCTGTGCTAAATTTTGAAAATTTTCAAAATTGACGCAGCGTCATGTTACTGTTTTGTTACATCAGCGTAATCAGAAGCGTTTGTTGTGCCGTGTTGCTTTGAACACATCATGGAAAACATTGTTAGTAGGAATTTGCATTTGTAAGAAGGGCCAACCCCAATTCCCAAACAAATTTCAGTGATTTTTTTCAATAAAATACAACTAGTGAAATAGCCTTGTATACAATTCAAACTATTGCAATGTTTTATATATCCTTAAAATATATTGTGTGAATTTATGTTTGACCAACACATTTCAGTTAACGTATGCAGATCGTGTCGCATTGTTATCTGTCTGAAAAACCGCAGAGTTTATACATCTCAGAGGATCAACTAATGTACGCCATTCACCAGGTTCACTGACGTTCCCATCACAATCCCTCCTAGCTCTGGACAGCCGTTGATTGAAGTTGTCTTGAATTGGAGGTAGGTCAACACCTGGATATGGCCGGAGCAAGTTATTCTTAAGAGGAAATGCAGCACCCCCAACAATGAAATACGGCATCACTTCATTTGAGCCTGGTAACTTGCCCGGTCCTGGCAAATCCTACTCGCCATTCACCAATCGCCTCCCAAATTCAGAATGTTCGGACTTTTTCTTTTAAATACATATTAAATCTTCTACCAAAACAAACGAGATTATGCTACTGTCAAAACGTAACGCGTGACGCATGATTGTGACCAAGCACTGCGTCAATGCGTCCGTCAGCATTTTTAGTACATGACGGATGCGTTGACGCTGACGGTGACGGTGACGGTGACGGACTATTGTGGGTGGCCCTTAAAGGGGATGCATATAAGTAAGTCGGTAAAAAAAATCATGGGTTGGTATAAGCACACATTAATTATTTTTTTTGCTTGTTTTCAGGGCATTAAAATATACTGGGCTGGCCACAGAGTATTTCATTTGTTTATTGCGGAGTCTACCTGATTCAACGTGGTCGTAAAGCTTCTCAGAGAACAGTAACCAACTTCTGTGATTTGACGTGCAGATGACGTAGATTTTTGAATGTCATTCTAAGGTGCCCACTTAGAAAAATTCATGTAAATTTAGGTGCTCTGAGAGTGACATATACAAGCGCCAATTTTGACATAAATTTGAGTAATAACAGACGCAAAATATAGCTCAACCAAACGTACGAGCGTTTCAGAATATTTATTATCAATTACCTATTTGTCCCAAACACGTTCTTTGTATCGCTGCTGAAAGTTGACATTAATCACAATATTGTTTTTTGCAATAATTTATTTAAAAAAAATGCATTCAAATTAATATAGTCGATTAGGGGCGAAACGAACACCTCTACACTGAACCAAAATATCCGCAATACTTCGAATGATTATTGCATTGCTCGAGACCTTTAACAATATGCATTCGAATTTCAGATGATTTTCTTATGGCTGAATTCGTCGTCAGATGATGAACATCCATATGACTGTCATCCAAATACAGGATGATTTTCGTTTGAAAATTAGCTATAAAACATACGGCACTCAGAGGATAAACATTTAAGAATAGTGTGACATGCAAGTGCTTTTAATTAGATTTATAATTTGATAATCTACAATTCCATACTGAATAGCCATTATAAGCCATTCCATTATGCATACAAAAAAATTTCGTGGTGGAGAAAACCTCCTCCACCACGAATTAGCCAAACATTGGTTTTCATCCTTTACCTATGTTCGTAACAGCTCTGATAGCGATGCATATGCTTCCAACTCGCTTGTCAGCTCTGATCAGCAAATGACGTTCGATAGAATTATTTACATCATCGTTTTGAATGATTTGCGTTATGGGGCTGAACCAATACCATATGCATTTCCATTTAGTATGACAGTCACTCTGCAGAGAGCATTACGCATTTCAACTGAAGACCCTATCCCTTCTCATAACAAGTTTCATCCTGTATTCGAGAGGAAAATCATCTGACTTCAAAACAACCGTCATCCGGTTGTAGCTATCATTCGAAAAAGCGATTTCGGTGTTTTGTTTTGAATGGTCTGAGGTTTCATTCGATCAGGGGATGATGTTTCTGTACAGTGTAGTAGGGGCAAAATGAACACCACTTGTTTCTGGAATGTAACCTCAACGGCCACTTTGTTTACTTGTTTACCTACGCAGTGTTTTGGTGGCAGTGATGGTGCGAACGTACAAAAGACAATCGGGAAGGCAGCAGTGGTCCAAAACGGCCATAGAAGCGGCCATAGATTCTGTCCGCCGGAGTGAAACGTCCATCAAACGAGCAGCCAAGGACCATGGAATTCCAAGACCTACGCTGATCCACTATTTGAAAACTGCAGAAGTACTGGGCCCACGGTGCTCCTCTGACCGTTATTATAAAAAAAATTAGTTCCATCAAAAGTGAGTATACCAATCGATTCGTTAGATCATTCTGCATCTCTGAACCAAATTTAAAAAAAAATCGTAGGGCGCATTTTCGAGTTACGCCCTTTTAAAGGCGTAACTGCATAAATCTCACTGAAAACAGGGAAATTCCATAACGTATTCTTATTTTACATGCACAAATCGCAACACACGCTGTTTTTTTTAGTGAACACAAGTAGGCATTGACAAACGTTATTGACAAACGTGCCTTTTGTGAGTTGCAGCGCGCTTTGTTTTGCTTGAAATTTTAACATGGATAATCACGCAATCAACAAAAAAAATGTGCATTTTATGCCTTTCAAATAAAAAAAACGTTAGACCGATCTCCAGTGCAATACGTCAAGTGATTAGGGGTCATTACTTAGGCGATATTGATGTTCGCGAGTGGTATTATCCGTCCTCAATATGTGCCAAGTGTCGGATTTATTGCAGCCCTGTAAATGGAAATAGCAGAAAAGTGGTCCTACATAAATACAAGTTTAACTATTCTAAGAGTACAAGAACAAATTCAAAGTGCACTTGTGAAGTTTGTGAGGCTGCCCAGCTAAAGTATGGTAAAAATCTACCGGGAACAGTTCCTAGAAAGGAAAACCAACGTAAATCAAAACCGAGCAATTTAAGCACTACTAAAGTCATACGCGAGGTCATACGCATGTGTAATACTTGTCTAACGGAAATCGGACGAGGGAACAATCACGTTTGTACTGTCACTGAGCGTTCAGAAAATTTAGCAAGAATTCTGAAAGAAAATTATTCTTCACCAAAGGCATCAGAAGCAGCTGTGTCAAAGTTTCTAGCCGAAAAAGTCTCAACTTCTGGTAAAACAGCAACTGATGTATTTCAGAATGTAGCTTTAACGTTTTATTTAATTCGTACAGGTTCTGAAAACATTCGCTTATCAAATCGTCGAGGAAAACCATCCGTATTTCTAAAAGCTAATTCTAATGTTTCTTTGAAAGAACGGAAACGCATGCGGACGGAAGATATGTTCAAAGTGAAGACGGAGAATAACTTGAGCATGCGGAAGACTCTTGGTAATATTTTATTTAGGATTTGCCGAAGCTTTTGATTTGCTTATTGGTTAGTTGATTTACAGGCATCATGAAAGGTTTAAAACGAGGTGGAGTGAGCTTTGAAACTGGCTTAAAAGGAAAGCTTTCCAAACTGAACTCACAGCTTGGAGATTTATTTAGTATTGTAGAGCTAGGAGAAGTAGCCAAAGGTAAAACTCAAAAAGGTACATATTATAAAGAAATCTAAATTAAAATGCTCTTTTCTAGCTGAAAACGTCCATCTTGGTCAATACGCTGATGTTCCAGTTATATTTTGTAATAATATACCTGAGTTACTTCAACGAATCAAGAAAAGTAGACACGCCAGTGAGGAAGAACTTTTCATAAAGCTTGGTATCGACGGTGGAGGAGGATTTTTTAAGATCACTCTCTCTCTCTCTGTTGTATCCAAAACCCAAAATAATTCCGCAGATTATTTTAAAGACAGCGGCGTGAAACGCCTTCATATTTTGGCATTGGCTCCAAATCTTGCCGAAAAATATGAATATATTTTTCTAATCTGGAATGGTCTTTTGAAGCTCTTGGAATCGATTATTGCCGGTGATTTGAAGATCATTAACGTGATTATTGGAATAATGGCGCATTCATCTACACACCCCTGTCCATATTGTGTAACAGAAAAATCAAACCTTGCATTGCTAAGTGGAGTGCCCCGAACGATTGGAAACATTCGAGAAAATTCCAATAAAGACCCATGTTCCAAAAATCGTAAAAAATATGCTAGCTGCATTAAACCACCGCTGGTTTTCGGCCAAGACAGCACTCCTATTTTGCTGGTATGCCCTCCACCTCCACTTCACGTGACACTTGGGATCGTGAACATGGTTTTTCAAGCAGTGGAGAAACAAAGTCCAGACTGGGCAGATTTATGGATCGAAAAGGCTCATGTACGACATCAACAGCGAACATACGGTTTTACAGGACGAGCATGTCACAGTCTCCTTGATGCTGTCGATGTTCTCCGAGAAAACGAAGATTTGCTAAACTATGTTGATGTAAGGTACAGTTGTTTTTAGATCAGCAGGTATAAAACTAATGACTGTTACTTTTTATAGGTCCTGAAACACTTTCAAAATGCGTACAAGAAATGCTTCTCATTCGAACTTGTACCCGGATTTGAAGAAGATATTAATAAGTTTGTCGAATACTGGGAAATGTTGCATCTACCAAAATCGTCCAAATACCATATAACCAAGTTTCACGTGAAAGAATTTTGTAACGCAACTGGACAAGGTTTGGGTTGGCACAACGAGCAGGCGTCCGAATCGGTTCACAGCGACTTTTTATTGACTTGGGAAAGATACAAGACCACGAAAACATCAAAGATATACAAATCTCAACTTCTGCGTGCTGTCGTTGACTACAATAGTGGTCATTTGTGTTAAACCACTTTGAGATTCATTAATTATATTTAGGTTTATTAGGTTATAGTTAATTTAGGTTTATTAGTTTACAGCTATTTAAATAAAACTTAAGCCTTAAATTAACGTACAAAACCCTTTTTAATTCCAAAAATTAGCAACCATGAACACTCTGCAATCGACATTTCATGTCATGTTGCATGCAAAATAAGCATATGTGATGGCATTTCACTGTTTTTAGTGAGATTTATGCAGTTACGCCTTTAAAAGGGCGCAACTCAAAAATTAGCCCTACGATTTTTTTAAAATTTGTTTCAGAGATGCAGAATGATCTAATGAATCGATTGGTATACTCACTTTTGATGGAACTAAATTTTTTTAAATAACGGTCAGAGGAGCACCGTGGGGCCAGGAGGTGAAGCAAATCGGTTCATTCAAAACAGTTTTCATACCTGCCGAGGAAGCTGTTTTAATGGCCCACATTTTGGACTTTGAGGTTCGATGCTACGGTATTACCACCCGTGACATCCGGAGCCTTGCCTTCCAGCTGGCCGAACGCAACGGGAAAGCACATGTTTTCAATACGAAGACACAGCTGGCTGGTTGGGATTGGCTTCACGGTTTTCGGAAGCGTCATCCCAAACTCTCGCTCCGTACTCCTGAGGCTACCTCAGCTGCAAGGTTGCAAGCATTCAACAAGATAGCGGTCGACAACTTCTTCGATGTGCTGCATCGTGAAATGGACGGAGGCAAATTCAGTGCCAGCAGGATTTTCAACGTTGATGAAACCTCTGTGCTCACCGTTAGTTGTACACATTTTCAAATAAAATGCATGTTTTGACTCATTTTGTATTCTTAGGTGCAAACGAAACGTTCCAAAGTGTTTGCCTTGAAAGGCCGACGTCAGGTAGGAGCTGTGACATCGGCGGAAAGAGGGCTACTTTCCACTGCAAGCAACGGGACAAATACTGCCACCTATGATGATATTCCCTAGGGCCCGTTTGACTACCAGTCTTATGGAAGGTGCTCCACCAGACACGGTATTTGTCTGCAACTCTTCCTCTACAGCTACAGCCTCTCAACATAAGCTACATGGGGCCGCTCAAGACGTCTTTCTCGAAGGAAGTGGAGAGTTTCCTCAAATGCAATCCTGGTAGGGTTGTCACCCTGAACGAAATCAGCCGGTTTTTCGGTTCGGCTTTCATGAAGACTTCTAACGCGGCTCTTGGTGTCAACGGATTCCGTAAGGCAGGAATTTTTCCGCTGAACCGGTTTATCTTCAACGATAATGATTTTGCGCCGGCTGACATAACGGACGTTCTTCCAGCAGACCCAGAAACCGATCGTTCAAACAATGAACTTGGTGACGAAGCTCTTGAATCCAACGCAGCCGATACTGAAGCAGGACCTTCGCGAATGCACAATGAGGTAGGAGATATCAACGATTCACTGTCAAACGAAAAGGAAAATATCGCTCCACAAGGGATTGTAAAAGTGGATGCTAACAACATGCTGACTCCGAAAGCTACTTTGGCGCCGTTGGATTCGAATGTTCCAGCCGGTTTGTCTGTCCGAAGCATCTTCAAAGTGTCTCCTGCAGAAATCCTACCGCTACCGAAAACAGTTACCAGAGAAGTTGGCGGTGGACGAAAGAGGGAGAAAGCTCGAAACATAACGTCAAGCCCCAGCCGAAATGAGTTGAAGTCATCTCAGGTATTGAAGGCTATTGATCAGCTAAAGAAGGTGATCAAAGCTGAAACAAGACACATTTCTAACAGTGATGCCGAAACACCCAAACGCAAACGAGGACGTCCGAAAGGAAAGAGCAATCAAACTAAAACAGTGTTTGCTCAAGATACGCTCTGCGAAGTATGTGGCTGTTGTTTCAGTTCTTCTGACAAAGGATAGGATTGGATCAAATGGGGGGAGGTAGCTCATCGATTCTTCCGGTTCGCCTCCTAGCATCGTGCTATAAGGTACCAGGCGATAACCAGGGTAGTTGATCGATAGCTCGATGACGTCATTTCGTTGGCGTCTGCAATGGGAAATTCTCATAGCAGGCGTTGACGATGGGACGTTGTCGAGTTGTTGAATAGCAACTATCGTGGTAACTCACCGATTACCTGTCGATCTGCCAAATTTGGAAAGACGTCTGCATTGAATTGTCTCATATAATAATATTCCGCCCACTATATCACAAGAAATTGCGAGTAGCTGAGTGGAATGGAGATAAGTTAAGCATTGGGTACAGGACCAAGTCTCCCCTGGGTGGTGCCAGAAGATGAGTGCAATAGAATCATCAAGTTGCCATAAGGCACGGAATGAGACTATTGCATGGCTGGGTAGTCAAAGTCTTCCATTCGTTAGTCATTTCAGGTGGATTAGAACAGGTTTAGGTTTAGGGTGGGCGTTGGCCAGATTTGGATTTTTCAGCTATAATCCTAAATAGGACCTAGATTATTTAATACACTAGTAACCTCAACTTCTGTCACAATGTTTCATTGTGACTAATCAACACTCAATGGGTAAAATATCAAATTTGCGGTAAATTTGAAAAAAGGGAACTTGGAGTGTAGAGTGCACTGCCCACTGGACGATTCTGAAGCCTGACCAAGTGAGTGGGTTACGGGTTTATTTGATTGTACGTCATTTCCAAGTTACATAGATACATTCATACCATTGGCATTTTGTATTTGATACAGATACATGGATTTGATGTACAGATACATTCATACCATTGGCATTTTGTATTTGAGATAAGACAGAGACAGGATGCGGAGGGCCTGCTTAGGGGGAGCGTAACCCATGTTATGGCTTCCATTTATTAAATAGTTCAGATAGGCTGGAAATGATAGGTTCATGGTGAGAAAATGTACCATATGGTGCCCGTTCACTGATCAAAATTAGATTCAAATCGTCAGGCCCTGCCCTGGAATAAGGGAATTGACGATGATTTGTCAAGTTTCATTTTGCATTTGCATATAATTGTAAGTTTAGGTTTGCTTTTGTAATTGTAAGATAGATAGTTTGCCTCAATTGAAACATTGAGTTAAACATGACGAATCATACCTCTAAAATAGTAGTAGTTACAGTGCCGCATTATCTAACTTTTGTTTTGTTTGTTTACATATAACTAATACTAATACCTCCTTGTTTTCTCTCTAATTTGTCTACTATGTCCCACCATCACGATGAGAGATGAGCTACCGTACATGGTACACGCTCATATACACTCCCAAAATAGTATGCCGCAAGTAAGTATATCACAGAGGCAACTAAAGATCCAGAAACAAAAACCGAAAACGCTGAACGGCAGATTGGTTTACAGTGGTCGACCAGGGTGTGTGCTGATAAATTACAAAATTACAATTACATCATTATTTCATACATCAGCTTGAATTGCGTTGATCGATATTACATTTTTATTGCTGTGCACTACACCACCGGAGCCAGCAAAGTTCAACAATCCATCGTTGCTTATGCCTTTGTTGTCGTTTGGAACCAGTTTTGAGAGGTAGGTGACGATTGTGCGTATTTCTCGCGTAAATTTTGAAAAGGGCCTAGCTTGAACAATACGTAAAGAGCAAATTGAAACATTGTACGTCGCGTGAAAGTGGAACTTAATGAAGGCCTAAGTACTTTTTCGTAGTTTTTAGTTTTCGGATTTGAAAGATCGTCGGTTACAGTGGCCTGCTTACTGAGCAGAAAAACGCGGTCCCAGGTCCTTACATATCAAAGAGATTTATGGTAAAATCGCTTGTGTATCGTGTATTTTGCGAAACTCGTTGTTGTCGTTGGTTCCGGGTTTGAATGGATACACAAATTTGAGCAACGGTATTATGTGATATGAGGGGCTCGGTGGCCTTAGAGCAACCGTTTTTGCTTACTGAGCAGAACATCATGAGTCTATTCTCAGGCCCATCCACAATCAAGATTCGTCAATCGTTTTATTTGTTAATATGACTACATGGTAATAACAGCAACTCGGTGATTAAAAAGGTGCTCGTCTGCCTAGTGGCAAACGTTTTTGCTTACTGAGCAGAAGACCGTGGGTTTAGTCCCAAGCTCCTTCGCGTTATATGATCGTTAGGACATCAATTCAGCTTATCGTTTACCAAAACGAACCCTGCTGCAAACCCAACCCTCTTATCCAACATCCCAGTGATTCCTCGTGGAAGTGCAGAGGTGTTCTCGGCTTCCATCAAAGCGAGTGTCATGTCAACACAATCCTTCCCATTCCTTTCTTGACCTGTGTTCGGGCGCGGCCGGCGCTGGTATTGCCTAATTTAAGATCACCAGTTTTTACACATTGAGAATGATTGCTAGTCCCAAGCATCGTCTATTGGTTCTCTGTGTAATTACAGCTGATCTGGCAATAACAGAGTAGCAACCGTGGGCGGTCAATCAAGCTCAAGCAAGCTCATGCAAGCTCAAAGGATAGGATTGGATCAAATGTTCCAAGTGCTGCTTGTGGTTCCATGAATGCCAGGACTCTCGCTACCCTTCGTGTGCCTTTCAGTAAGGCATCAACTTGTAGCTAATCTTCATTATGTGATTGTTCATGAATTGGTTTTATTTTCTTTATTTCGGTAACATCACCAGAGGTGTGTTCGCCAATGAAATTGAATTGAATTAAATAAAAATCTGTTACTGTTTTGGTTGAAATCTGATTAGTTTTACTTAAAAACTTACTAAACTGACCCCACTGTCAATCATAGTTTCAATAATAGTTTTAGAATCGGGCTCTCATCATGTCAATCAATTGCCGTGATTCAATAACTACTTAGTTTACAGGGCACTTTTCGGTATGTAAGCACCTCTCGTTAAGGTAGTTAATCATGAGCATTTTCCATTAGACCCCCTATACCAAATGAACTTATGCTACATACTCTTTTGGAGTTGCTTATTGACCTATACGAAGTAAAGCTTAAGAAATGTCTCCCCTATGTTCTCGTTTTTCTATGTATGCATGTGTGTGTATGTGTGTGTGTGAGGGTTGTATGTATGTGGGAGGGATGGGGACATGTTC